ATAATATAATATAATATAATATAATATAATATAATATAATATAATATGGGGCAGTGTGGCCTCGCCATTGCTCCTTATAAAAGTTTAAATATAAGTAGACATTTGCGGTCTAACTATATCTTTCAGAGGATGGTCTGATGAGTGAACGTTTTAATAAAGTCAGACAAACCGAGTAACATAAATATAAACTTACTGTACATGTTTTGAACTCTTCATAAACTCAAAGTCTTCAACTCTACAAAGGAGAGATTTGGGAGCCATCTATCTTTGAGAGGTTTCCAGGGAGCCTTTATAATTAACCAACTTGAATCCAGTGAAGGAAATTAGATTTTTTGGAATATTTTTAATTACTTAAGATATTTTTGTTCTCTCAACACTGACTGATTTATGACATTTGTGTGGAGTAAATGAGCAAAGGCTTTAAAAAGACTTGTTCAATCATTTAACACATCTGTTCTGTCCAAGACCAAGTTCTGTCCAAGTTTTAATTTTATTATCTCACACTCATACATATTTAATACCACTTATTATGAACACCTGTGAGTAAGGTCAGAAATAAGAAATGTACTTAAATATTGGGGGAAATCACAATCAAGCCCTAGTTCCTTTAGAAAGACACTGAAAAAAAATCAAACTGTCATATGTGGAAATGAGAAACTAAATCAAGCCCAGTGGACTGAGGGAACTTTCAGTGTTTTTTTCTTTGTGTGTGTGTGTGTTTTGATGAAGATGATTTTTTCCCCCCAGCAGTTTGTGTTTCACATCTTGTTGAAAAATTTGGTATGGACCTCAAGAATGGTAGAAATGTGATAGCACAATCCAAAAACAAATATAACAAAAACCATCCATGGTCACAACAGTAGTGCAATATTAACAGAATAGTTGTAAAAAAAGCATCACAATAAGCATTCTTCTACATTCAGTAAAGTTTCAGTTCTATCAGCTAAAATCAAATCTCAGCATTTTAATGTGTCAATAACATTATATCAATAGCTAGTTTTTAAACAACAGACATATTATCAATAGGACCTTACATGAAACCCCCATTTGGTGAACAGGAGATTATGTGCTGCTTAAATGACTCCAGGTCTCTACTGTAAGCTTAATGATCTTAAATTGACCATTTTGGCTTTAACGTGTAATTCGAGTCCACGGAGGACCTTGTGGTGCTGGAAGACATTGTGAAGTAAAGATTTTTATTTTTCAGAGACATTTGGGAGGTCAATAAAAGGAAAGAAATCCTTCATGAGTAATGAGTTTGCCCCTAAGCTCTTGACATGTAACATTGTAGAGGAAATATTGGCAAACGTACAGCCCTCCAGGGAAAAAAATCCATAAAATGCACAAAGTATTTTTAAACAAGAATTGTTTTGTCAATTGATTAAATAAATATGCTTCACCTCCATTTCCAGCTTTTAAAAAAATGTCTTCTTGATTTCTTCACTCTTTCACATCTTCTTGGTACATTTCACCATTCTGTGTCTACTGCTGTGTTTTTTTATTAAACACACACACACACATACACACACACGCACACACACTCACACAGGCACGCACACATACACACCATGTGAGGGAAGCCAACACAGCTCATTTCCTCCCTAATTGAACTTTGATAAGTCTTTGTCTTCAGGGAAGTCTCCCAGAATTAATTCATATTGATTTCCACACACACAGACAGAGATGGGGACGTTTTTCTCATTCGGCCCGTGTTTCTCTTACACTCGGCGTATTGGGGGTTGGAAGGGACTCGATGACCTGTTTTCTGGAGCACTGCTTTAAAGAAAATGGTAGTCGTCGATGGAGTGGGTGTGTTTGTGTTTAAACAGTTTCCCCTGATTGCAATCTGTGCTCATCAGGGATGAGACTGTTTGACTTCAGAAGCATCGGAAACATGGAGCCTTCACACTCCTGCATTTGGAGACGATCATTTTCCAGGATCTTACTTTCAGTTTAACATACTGTAAGTGTTGTCTAACCAGGGTTTGAGTTAGAGTTGCAGACTGGTTCATTGGCCTACACTCCATTTTGATCATTCAGCAATTTCAATTCAAACCAGAAATAAACTCAGTTTCTAATGTCTGATTCTTAATGCTGCTTCACTGAACTCACTCTGGAGTTTGGTTAAAAGTGGAAAATATGATTGTTATATTCTCAATCCTTTCCCCTTTGAACAGTTTGTGTGTCATTGATGGATTACTTTTGGCTTTTCTGGATGGAAATCCTACTTTCGTTTGATGTTCACCCACAAACAGCCACTCCTGCTTCTTCCGATTTGCATACTCTTTTTCCCCCCAAGCCTACTCACTTTGATTTGCTCCTCTCTGAACTTGTAGGTCTCCCTTGCAAACAAATCTCCATTTCATTGTTTACTCCATTTCAACATGTTCTAAGCACGGCTGCATGTTCTATTGAGTCTGATGTTAAATCAGCCATGCTGTCACCAAAAAAGAGAGAGGTAAGGGTATTTGACTGATGGTTATTACATGTAATAGAAAGTCTTGGAATACAGCCCAAAATGGTTTGATCACGTGGATTGAAACTTAAATTAACAGAGACTATATTTGGTACTAATATAATTCTACAAATGAGTATAAATGACAAAAAGGCGATAGAATGAAAAGTGATGTCAATTGGACTTCGTTTTTCTGAATTTATTGTTTCATCTTACTTACTTACTGAAGACTGGGGTTTCAGTTGATTTTCTTTCATTTTAGCAGTTAACTAGTAACACTAGACAGGATAAAATTTTCCTCATTTAATGTCATACAATTTATAAACAATCATAAAAAGACAGGGATAACTAAGGAAAATCCTCGCAGACAGTGAGATGATTTATTTTTGCTGAGCTAATCCCGGTAATCTTCGTTTCGTCCGGCCTGCGCCTTTAAATCTGGGACGTGGGGCGTTCAGGGACCGCTGTCAAAAACAGAGCCGCGCGCCTGCGCAGTGCGCACAGCGACTCCGTCGGGCTCCGGAGGACGAGGAGGGAGCACTAATGCTCGTTTTGGGGACGAAAACAGGGTAAGCCGAGGCGACGCACGCGCCCACCGCCATAAACGACGCTTTCGACACGAAGACTAGCTCGTATTGTGTCGAGACCTCTCCCCAGTTTGGGAGGGAGGGGCAGTGGGGGGGGATTATTTGATTGGATTCATGTGTCGGTCATCCGGGGCTGGAGGCTCACCGAGCCCCCGTGCTGGTCAATGGACGGGGCGCAGACTCACAACCGTGTAGAGGAGAGCTCGGGCATCCGGTGGGGGGGCGAATGGGGGGTCGGGGGGGGG